TAACGTTCCTCTTTACGCGCGTGACGGTTGTCACAGGTGGGTGACGGTCGTAATGCGCTTAAATAGCGCATTACGCTCGTCAACGATGTGTGACGAGCGTTCTTTCTAGTTGGGGAGGCGTGACGGTCGTCATAGGGTGTGACGGTCGTCACAAGTGCAAAATTTGAGATTTTGTTCTTTTCTCTTCTATTTCTTGTTTAGCTTTCTTCATGTGGTCCTTTTTTCATTGTCTTGAGTTGACAAATGTTATACCTGTGAAAAGACATAAAAACTCGGAATAATCGGGAGTTAGACGACTCAATGTATTATAAAATCGGTAGAAAGCATAGTAATTATATGATATGATTTCTCGTTATCAATGGTTCGAGGTATCTTGTTTTTCATCCTCATGTAAGATTTCCTCTTTATCTTTATTAACGTCCTAATCCTTTTTTGAAGGAGTAGGACCCTCTTTGGAACTTTCATCGTCAGTCAACTTTTCCGTTATCACACATGAAACATCAGAACAAATACCTTTCGACGTCTTTAGTGTGATGTCTCATCAAATGCAACATGAATATATTCTTCTACAAAATAAGTGCTATGATTGTAAACTCTCCACGCCTTACTCGTGGATGAGTACCCTAATAATATCCCTTCATCAAACTTATCATCAAATTTACCAATATTTTCCTTTCCAATATGTGACATGACCACTTTCTTTCTCATCTAACTTGATGAACATAGAAGCATCTCTCATTACGTGTCTTGAACATCAGCTATATAGAAACCATAATCTTTTCATGGATACAAGACTTTCATGTGATAATCAAATAGGCAATTTAGGTCTCTAACTAATGGATCCTTTAGGGTTAGTTAAGGTACACTTAGGAATCCATGTCATTTTACTATTGGGAACTTGAACATTCCTAATATGATAAAGAGGCCTAATGTGTCCCTTATCACAACAATAATCACAAATATCTTTAAATGAAAAGCTTTTTCTATTTCTCCTAATGAGATGAGGTTTTTTTTATAGAAAAATTTCCCTCTATCACTTGAAGATCTAGAACAAGAACAAGAAAGTTAAGTAGCATGAGTTAGTTGTCCTTTGATATTTTCAATTTCGAGTTTTAAAGATTGACAAGTAACACATTCTACTTTTACTACCTTTTCAATTAAAGTGTCTTAAACATTATAACGCTCATCAACTAGAGGTGTATGTGTGTCTTTAATATAATATAAAGTATGATTAAGATTATTTATCTCCTTTTCAAGTGTTAAATAATTTAATTTTAGAGATAAATCTCCATAAAAGCATTATAGAGTTTGCATACATATCATTAAACGCTTGCAACAATTCACTATTAAGGATGCATATGTTGCATGTCCCTAACATATGCAGGGAGAGCACCCCCAATACGATTATATTGTTGCTTGTCTTATAACTTTCATTTATTATCATTGATTGAGTCTCCATCATGATTGCACATCTTTGAATCAAGGTTGAAATTTAATCTTTATTCATTTGAATCAAAGCTTACATTTGAAATTGATCAAGATGCATTTAGTCAATTATATAAGTTAGTGGAATAAAAACTATATGTGTTTTTGATTCAAATTATGTGCAAATATAAATCTCAAAATACTTTTTAAAACATGAAAAATTGAGATTTGTGTGTTTGATTCGAATCAATCAAATTAAACACACTTTTTTATTCAAATCAAATTCAATAGAGGTGAACCAAAGTTTTTTGAACAATTTGATTCGAATCAATTTTTGTACATGATTCGAATCAAGCAATTTTCTGGTCACCTTTGCTCAATTTAATTCGAATCAAATTTTCCACATGATTCGAATCACATGGTTTTTCATCATTTTTCAAGAGGGCTTGTTACACTTGATTCGAATCAAATTTTGTACATGATTCGAATCACGGGGTCTTTGACTCAAACCATGTATTGTTCTTGATTCGAATATAACCAACTTTTACCACTCATTTTTGTGCTTAATCTTAAGAACATATAAAACCTTTTGTCAACAATTTCATGTAAAAAATTTCATAATCATTTTTTAATTTTATATGAAACCAACTCTCTCATTTTGAAAAAGCTCAAAACTATTGCATTCAAATTTCTTTCCTCTTCAATCTTAGTTTTGATTTTAAATCTTGATAATGAGAAAGTTGTGGTAGATTGAAGGAGACAATGTCTTGAAACTAACCGTTCTTGAAGATTGGGTAAAGAATTTCAAGTTACTGCAAAATTAAGAAGTTGTCATTGTTGATGACAAATTCCAGTGTAAAAGAAAGAGGTTCTTATCTCCAGATTGATTTAGTAGTGATTGTGTGGAAGGCTATAGATAATGCAGAGTTCTTCTCAGATCTTCAAACAATTCATCGCTTAAGGAATCAGTGGGATCAAGGGGTAGATTTCTACATATGAAGGCTTGAAGCAGATTGGTGATACTGGAAGATTCTTGAAGCGTTAATTGAGTTAAGATTACACAGAAGAGTTTGGCATGAAGCTATATACAAGTCAAGATCCAAATAGAAAATTTATTTTCTTCATCATTATTGTGGTTTATTGACTGTATGAACTCTTGGAATATTTGTCAAAATAAAAGGAAATATGCAAGTTCTAATGGGAAACCATTCAAGAGTGCATGTAGTCTCACGCGAGGAGTGCACCTCAACTAACACTAAAGGAACCAACTAAAATTGGGTATGTAGTTCTATTGATTGTTGTTTTATGCAGGAGTGTCAAGGAATCTTTATGGATACTCAAGACAAGTGAAGCAAGATGTATTCAATCATATTTTTAATCGTATTGTATTCTTTTTGTTGTATTAGTGTTATCATTTGCTAACGTAATTTTGCCGCATGTGAAGTCCTAGATCATCGTAATTGGTATGATCGTTTCATTCTCCTCTATATTCATATAGTTTCACTTTATTTATCTTCTTTTATTTTAACTGTTTTGTTTGCATCATAGTCATCCCGACTTCAAAATTATTTTTCACATGCATCAAAATTATTTTTCATATGCATTAAAGTTAATTTTCATTTGCACCAAAATAATTTAGTTGCATTCAAATCTTTTTCATTAAATTCACCTTGTATCAAACGATTTTTGAATTAATTTTTTTTCATAATAAAATCATATTCTTTTAATTCAAGTATATTTCTATTATATTATTTCTGGTTCTACTAGTGAATCTCTTTGTCAAGATGTTTGCTAATTTGACACGGCGAATTTGAGATGTCTTTTATGGGAGAGCTGTCATATTTCTTAGGATTATAAATTAAACAAGTCGAAGAAGGAACTTTCATAAGTTAAACTAAATACTTCTTAGAATTTCTCAAGAAGTTTGATATGAAAGACTCGGAAAATATCTCGACACATATGACATCTAATGTGCTTATTGATAAAGACAAAAGAGGAGTGAACTTCGACATTACCATTTTTCAAATTATTTTGTAAAATATTTTAAAATTGATAAAAAATTAATAATTGTCTATAATTTAAAAGAAAATTCATTGACATTGTTGAGTAAATAATTTCAGTTTTTCTTGAAAATATCATAAGTTCTATTATATTACATAAACAAAATAAAAGTATATATAATATATAAACATTGCAAGAAAATATATTTAATTTGATAAAAAATAAAATTAATATATATATATATATATATGTTTAAGATTTTAATAATTATTTTATTTTTAAATATTTCAATTTGTTAGATTTAATTTTTTATATTATATAAAGTTAAAAAACTACTCTTATGACAATCATACATATTTTCCAAAAATTATTTATTAATATTTTTTAATTTAATATTAAATTAATTTTTTTATCTTTCATCATATTTAGTTTTTTATTCTAAATTATATTTTATAAGGATAAATTTGTAAATCATTTTCTTATCATATCGGATTTTTTTAAAATTTTTTGTCCATAGCAAATCCTACTCCTTTATTATTATTAAATCAAAGGCTAAGATAAATCCCTTAAAAAATTCATGTGTTAATTTTTAAGTGAATCTATTTTAACCTTTAGATTAATAATAATAAACGATAAGATTTGATGTCATGACACCTTGGTGTCAATTGATCCTCTCCCCACACACACACATATATATATATATATATATATATATATATATATATATATATATATATATATATATATATATATATATATATATATATATATATATATATATATATATATATATATATATATATATATATATATATATATATATATATATATATATATATATATATATATATATATATATATATATATATATATATATATATATATATATATATATATATATATATATATATATATATATATATATATATATATATATATATATATATATATATATATATCTTAAAAATTGTGATTAATTTAATTAAATATTATTAGATTTATTTGTATTTTATAAATCTTAATTGAATACCAAAAAACAAATATCATAATTATTTTCTATAAATATTTTAAAATCTCAATCTAATACATCTGAATATTAATTTTGTTTAATTCCCATGATTTACTCCAATTACAAAACATGTTAAAAAAATGTGTATAAGCATAACATTGCAAAATGACTACGTTTTTAGTGTGTTACTTACCCTTTGGTTTGATTAGTTGCTTAATTTGATTTTGTCCAAGGAAACTCTTGTTACAAAAATAGAGAATTTCCACGCCGCCCCACACAAAAAGGTTTGGTCTTTTCTTTCACACACAATCAAATTCATAAGCCACGATCTCAACCACCGACTTAATCCACGTGTCACCATCACCACCGTCCATTTATACACCCCTCCTTTGAATTCTAACTCTTATTTTCAACTCGTACAAAACCGTCAAAAAGACTATTTTGAGGAAACTCCCATGAACTATCAAGGAAACTCAAACACACCCTCGTATATATTACCTCTCTCTTTATATATATATTTAACAACCAACTTGTTCATTGTTATGATTAAACCTAAATTTGTAACATGGCAAACCTAAGAAGACCAAAAGACAAAGACAGCATGTTCAACGTTAATGGTGGTCGTTGCAAGAAACATCCCAAACATGTACAATCACCTGGTGTGTGTTCTCTTTGTTTGAAAGACAAACTTGATCAACTATCTTCATCATCTTCTAGTTCCACTTCTCAAAACACAAACTCGGCTTCTTGTTCTTCATCTTCTTCTTCTTTGTCTTCCTATTACTCTTCCTCTTCAGGCTCTTCTTGTTCTTCTCCAATGCATGATAGATCTAGTTTCTCTACTATCTTGCTCTTTAACAAACATGGTGGTGGACTTGTGAAGAGTAAGTCAATGGCTGCTGTTGTTCCAAGAAGGAGAAACAAAGATGCTAGGAATCAATATAGTAAGAAAAATGGGTTTTGGTTTAACTTGTTTCATCCTAATTATAAGAACAAGAGAATGGTGACTCTAGCTAGCTAACTCATACGATCGATCTACATTAGTTATTCTTTTGTAATTAAATTCCTTATTCATTCATTTGTACTTCATCTTTCCAATATTATTCACAAAGCATAAAGAAATAAATTAATAATATATTTTTTATATTTTTATATTTCATTTTAAAATATATTGCATTTATACCTATAATAAATAATAATATTAGGGTCCACACAGTCACCAACTTCTATGTGTGTTAGTGAAGATTTAGTTTGAGGATAAGGAGTTGACTCAGCAAAAATATGAGTTCAATTTCTACTATGGACTGGAAGATAATTTAGTAAATAATCTATATGTAAATCTCTATCTAAATATTCTTTAAATGGATCTATCCTATTTGTGAAGAACCATGAAAACTAATTTTGAAAATTTTGAAGAAATTATTATTTATTATATTTCAATTTAAATTCGTTATTAGAATTATTTAAAGAATCATATTATACTTTAACTTAAATTTGATTCATTTTAAATAATCGTATTATATTTTATTTGATTTAAAATTTAAGTTTGATTTTGATTAAATTTTATTTATTTAATTTAAAACCACGTCTAACTTCAATCAAATTGCATAGATAATTATAAATTTATTTAGATTTTGATCTAACTTTATTTTATTCAAAATCAAAACGAGATTTAACTTCAATTAGATTGCATAAACGGTTAATTATTGTCCTTAAAGTGGATAATTAAGATTTAATATTTATTAGTATAAAAGATTTAATATTTATTGATATTATTTATTTATATTTATGTATTAATATAAATAAGTTATTTATATTTATAAATCAACAACGTTTATAAATAAAAAATTAAATTGCATAAATAGTTATAAAATTGAAAATAAAAGATTTTGAAAAAAAATACAAAATTGAAATTTACTCAAATTAAATTAAGGCATTGTATTAAATATAATATTTTAAACTAATTTTTAATCTTTATTTATAATTTTGAACTTAATACTACATTAAAGAGAGAAAAAAAAGGTGAATTTAGAATTAAATATGCTATTGGCATTCTATTGATAAAATTAGTTTAAAATTTAAATATATTAAATTAATTAAATATAAATAAATATATGATATTAAATTAGAGTTTAATGGATATGTATTATCTATCGAGAATATAGCATTATGTGATGTCATACAAATTATTTAAATTATTTAATTTATTTAATAGAATATATAATCGTCATTGATTGATAATATATAATTATTTTATACCATTTATATATATTTTTTTCTCTTAAATTATTGTATAATAAATACCAATAAACTTTTTAATTATTACAATACTCGCATAAAATAAACTAAAAATAAAAATATAAAATATATAAGATGCATGTGAATTTGATGAATTGCAAGTTTAAATCTCATCCGGCTGATCATAAATAAATGGTAGGAATAATATTTTGGTATTGTGAAATTTAAATAATGCAATATGATTGAAATTATCTACAACATAAAACAGCTTGGAATCAATGCTCTATGTGATCTCGATCCATATTAATTTTTTTATAAATAAATCCATATAAGTTAGTGTACAAATTATAGATCATGATAAATAATATTCCTTAGAATATAGTAGAAGCAAGTACTATATATTTTGGTTTTTGTATGTATATACGTACGGTGACGTACAAATATAATATTAATTGTGGACAGATCTGTACGCCGTAGATTAATTCCTTTTGGATTTGATTCATAGATTTATAATAATATTATCATGTAATGGTCTGGGGCAGATGTGAATCTAAAATTAAGAGTACAGGTCACGGTCTTCATAGAGATCGAATATTCAATTCAGTATATTACTGGTATGACTTGGCTCCAGGAGTTTATAATCTATCTTCTTTTCTTTTTTTTAAGCAAGACTTGGTCATTTCCGGTGTCTTTCTTTTTGGGTTTAGACATATTGGTCTTTACGAATAAAAACTTCTTGTTTGGCATATAAGTATCATAATTACTATTGTTGTATTCACGGCAAGTACAATTGACGTCTCACCGGAGGATCTAAGCATTCATAGAACTTCATTAATAAAGAGAAAATAGAGTAAAAGTGAAGAAGATGAATTAAATAATGGTAGGTAGTTACAACTGTTTTATATAGTTATATCAAGTTAGTTATTTAACAACACTCTAATTAACTTAATTTTGTTGAAAATCCATTAAAGTCTATGATGAATTTCTATCAAAATGATAATTTAATTATGAGACAAACAAAGAAAAGAAGACAAGACAAATAATTTCTGCAGAGTTTCTCTCTGCTCACAAACTGTGAAAACTTTCTTATTCACTTTGCAACTGCAAAATACTGTGAATGACTTGCTTACAAAAATAAGGGTTACTCCCTCTATTTATAACTGAGCTTACACCCTAAGTCCAAAACCCAAAATATATTTTTGTTACTAAATCAAATCTAATTTATTATAGACTTAAATCAAATTTATTTAAATCTAAAACAAATCAAATCTTTTCGACACATAGTTTCGATACATTGGATTACAATTTAACACACCACCTAATTTATTGTGTCTAAACTATCTATGTTCATCATGGCTCTTAGCTTTCTGAATACTTCAACTTGCACTTCCTTCGTCATGATGTCTGCAATCTGATTCTCAGTTCTGCAGTGTTCCAAATTCATCTTCCCATCTGCTACCTGCTCTCGAAGATAATGGAACCTCATTTCGATGTGCTTACTTCGACCATGTGCTATTGGGTTCTTCACCAGATTAATAACTGGCATGCTGTCTATCTTCATGGTAATTGCTCCATGATTTTTTCCTGTTATCTCTTCGACCAAGTTCACCATCCAAGTTGCTTGACATGCATAAAGAGAAGCAGCTATGTATTCTGCTTCGCATGATGATAATGCCACTACTGGTTCCTTTCTTGAATTCCAAGCAACTGGTGCACCACCTAGCATAAACACATATCCTGCTGTTGACTTTCGATCTTCAGCATCACTACACCAACTCGAATTAGTGTATCCCACTAACTTGCATTATTTTCCTTTATCAACTGCAGGAAATAAAATGCCATAATCAAAAGTTCCTTTGAGATACCTTAGTATCCTCTTCACTGTTGCTAGATGTGATACCTTTGGCTTCTGCATGAATCTACTTACCATACCTACACTATATGCTAAGTCAGGCTTTGTATGAAAAAGGTATCTCAATGATCTAATAAGTCTTCTGTATTGGGTTGGATCAACATCATCTTCATCTGCATCTTTCGACAATTGCAGTCTTGGTTCTGCAGGTGTCGAAGTTGAGTTGCATTCTTCCATCTCAAACCTCTTGAGAATTTCTCCTGCATATCTTCTTTGATGCATCATCAAACCTCTACTGCTCTTGTAGAATTCGATACCAAGGAAATATGAAATCTCACCCAAATCAGACATTTCGAATTCCTTGCTGAGATCACCTTTGAAGTCTTCGATCTCACTTTTACAGCTACCTGTTATCAACAAATCATCTACATAGAGACATAGTATAAGCAATTTACTCTTGCTTCTTCTTACATATACTCCATGTTCAGTTGTGCACTTCACAAATTCCTTCTCCCTTAGAAAACTATCAATTTTCTTATTCCAAGCCCTTGGAGCTTGTTTCAATCCATACAGGGCTTTATGTAGCCTGTACACCTTTCTTTCTTCGTCATGTTTCACAAATCCAACTGGTTGTTTAACATAGACTTCTTCATCTAAGGGTCCATTTAGGAATGCACACTTCACGTCCATCTGACATATGTGCCAACTGTTTATTTTTGCTAGACCAACAACCAACCTGATTGTTTCGATCCTAGCAACAGGTGCAAAAACTTCATCGAAGTCTATTCCTTCTTTATGTAGAAATCCTTTCGCCACAAGTCTTGCTTTGTGTCGAGTTACTTCACCTTTCGAATTCGTTTTCACTTTGTATACCCACTTGACATCAATTGCCTTCTTGCCTTGAGGCAATTCGATAAGTGACCAAGTGTTGTTGTCTTCGATAGACTTTACTTCTTCGTTCATTGCTTTCACCCACTTCGAATCCTTTAATGCTTCAGCTGCATTAACGGGTTTGACATCTGCATAGAAAGCATAATGTACCAGCTCACCTTCATTATCTATTACATCATCTGATGTAATCACACAATCTTGCAGACATGCGTCTTGTTCTTTGAGACCTGCTTGTACTTGGTATATTTGCTGGTTCCTCTTGTCGAACTTCTCTTTCAACTTGAGTTTCTGGCTCTTCAAGAAGGATTCCCACTGAATATTTCTTGATATTTTCAGTCCAATCCCATTCTTTAAACTCATCTATGATCACGTCCCTGCTGATCACAATCTGCTTTTTCACTGGATCGAACAACTTGTAGCCTCCTGTCGAATGATATCCAACTAGAATCATTTGACTTAACTTATCATCAAGTTTTCTTCTCAACTGATCTGGCACATGTCTATGTGCAATAGATCCAAATACCTTCAGATGACTCAAGCTAGGCTTCACACCAGACCAACATTCTTCTGGAGTAATTCCTTCTAGCTTCTTTGTAGGACATATGTTCAAAATGTATGTTGTAGTCTTTCGACACCACCTCATGCACAACCCCTTCCTTTTCACATAATCTTTCGAAGTCTTTCGACACATATTCTCCACCACCATCAGTTCTCAAAACTTTGAGTTTTCGACCACTTTGTCTTTCGACCATAGACTTAAACTTGGTAAATACTTCAATCACTTCACTTTTCTTCTTGATCAGGTAAGTCCATAGCTTTCGACTGAAATCATCTATGAATGTAACAAAGTATTTGTTACCTCCCATCGAATCCACCTGGATTGGTCCACATACATCAAAGTATATGACTTCAAGACTAGCCTTTGACCTGCTTCCTGCATCCTTGCTGAAGTTATTCTTGTGTTGCTTCGCCTGCACACATTCCTCACATACCTCGTTTGGAATGTCAATTTCTGGCAATCCTGAAACCATATTTCTTCT